GAGGACGCCCCCTGGAAGATTGTCATATGTTTATGTGCAAATAAAACATAACCTTTAATGATTTTGTATATAAAAACTTCTGTCCAATAAGGAATAAAAGAATACGTTAAAAATGAGTCTGGATAGGTCAAATAAATAATTCTGATTGGGGCCTTAAAGGGGCAGTGACCCCCTTTGTATCTCTCACAGCAAAAAGTGGCAGAAATCTTAAGGAGTTCTTAGTGCCCAGCCACTTCTCCTCTAAAGTGATGAGGAATAATTGGCTTGCAGTACAAGGCACGTATAAATGTGGCAAATGTGTCGCTTGCCACACACATTTGCAGACTAGCAGGTAAATCAGACCCTTAGTGTTGCAGTTAAAAAATTGTTTAACATTGCACACAATTTGTCCATTTGAATCAGTGAGGCTCTTGGAATCCTTCTTCATATATCTATATGAAGAAGGATTCCAAGAGCCTCACTGATTCAAATGGACAAATTGTGTGCAATATTAAACAATTTTTTAACTGCAACACTAAGGGTCTGATTTACCTGCTAGTCTGCAAATGCGGTCTCAGATATGTGGGTAAAACAATCCGTCCCTTGAAAAGGAGGGTCATGGAACATGTACATTCTGCAAAAAATTTGAAGGATACCCCAGTGGCGAGACACATACGAAATCAACATCAGGGAGACCCAGGAGATGTTAGATTTGCTGGAATAGAAAAGGTGACTTTGGGACGCAGAGGAGGCGATTTGGATCTTACCCTCCTCAAACGTGAATCATATTGGATATATAGATTCAGAACCTTGACCCCTAATCGCCTCAATGAAGGTTTCACCTTCGCTCCCTTCATTGAGAGATAAGATTATGAAGAATTTAGATAATGTAAATACGTTGTTGTTTATGTATATAGTTTATGTTTGTCATCTACTAAAGTTATAAAAGATTGATTATATTTCATTTTTTATTTTATCACTTCCTTTGGATACCGGTGGCGTATATTCCCTAGACAGCTGATTCATCAATCTTAAGCACAATTTGTGATACCCCATTCTTATATATATATTCCTAACTTAACATTGGATATAGGACCATAAATGTAGTGCTTGTACCTATTAATATTTCATTATAATGTACTACTAAGCACTCTTTGCCTTTGTCTGATTTTTGTGGAAAGGGATTTCTTGACTAGGAAAATATCAATGTACAGTTAATAGATTAATACTGTTTTGTTTCTGTGTGATTTAGATATTGTATTGCAGTACATTTACATGCTTGTATGCATCATTTCTTTGCTGCTAAATCAAGCTTTTCTAAATCTCCATCTGATTCTAACTTTGTGTACTCCATTCTATATTTCGTTGGACATCTTATTACTGTAATAATGAAATACTATAGAATACACTTTATTTTATTTTATTTATTTATCCCTTTAAATAGGAACATATTGCTTTTGCTCTATATTTGCTTCAGCACATAAGGGGTTACTACACACATACATCAATTAATATGTGCCGAATCAGTTAATTCATTGTGCCACCGGGGAGGGGGTAACCACTCCGGACTTTGATGACACGTCATCAGGTAGGCGTGATTATGTCCGGACTATTGCCCCTGCGCATACCTCTCCAGCTGATTGGCTGAATATAGATCTAAATTAGCCACCGGATTCCCGAGGATGCCTGTAGAGCCTCAGACGAAGGCGCGTTTTTGCAGCGCCGAAACACGTGTTAGGTAGCAGGGTTTTGAGTCTGGTTAGGCAGGTTAGGCAGCTGACTTCGAGATGCTAAAGAGATAGGTAGCATTTAGCAAGTTCTCTTTATTAGTTTATCGTGATCTAGGTAGTCGACCAACTTTGTTCTCTTGGGGACAAGGCAAGCTTGCTGGCATACTGAGGGAGGTTTACTAATATTTATATAATCTCCACTTTGCTGTTGTTATTACACTGCCTTCTGACAGCTGCAGAGGCAGAACATTTACCACATCAGGCATGATTCTTGTCTAGCTCATTTTCTAGTAAGACTGTAACAATCTCTCAGCGTTATTCAACAAGGTGGCTATTTTGCATCTAATGTAGCAATATTCTACCAAACCACATCATTATTCACTGAGAGAGGGCTAACCTATTTAAGAGATTTTCTATACTTAACATAGGGACAGCTATATTTTTCAATAGCTGCCTCCTTTTTGCATCATAGATTTGAATCAGCTATTTATTGGGCTCTGTGTATGTCCTTTTCACCTTAGGATTTATTAGATGTGAAACTTAGCTTGCACATCCCAATCAGAATTATTTATTTGACCTATCCAGACTCATTTTTTTTTTTTTTAATTTGACAATTTTTATTGTTTCGTGTGGTAAGGGTACAGAAAGGAAGAGGGAGGGAGGGCAGGGCGGGAAGGGTGAACAGATTTCATCAATACATGTTAACAACTCTCATTCAGTTGACTATGAGTATTCAGACAACTTATACCGCTCGTAGTCGATTAGCGACCAGAAACATTGTCTTGCATCTGGTGTGTGTCAGAGTGGGGTAGGTGTGCTCCCTACTCGATCCCTTATGGGAGCTATCATAAGAGGTCCCATCCTCGCTCTCTATTCTCACACCTCTTGCGCTGCTTCCCACTGATGTGTGAGGCGCTTCTCTTCTTATGCATTTTGTACATACAGTATCATTGGTAGGTTACATTTACTTTTCACTATCACTCGATCTCCATGAGTACCACATCTCCCATGCTGCTTGAGTGGTGTTGGATGGGGGGAACAATGTTTTGAAGCCCGTTTCAAACGAACTTTGTGTGTCCAGGTCCTCAACGACCCGTTTCATACCAGGGGTAGCTGTTTGTTTCCAGTGTTGAGCAATTAAACGCTGTGCTGTTAAAATTATATGTAACAGGAGTTTTTGCTTGGCTCTGGGTAAGCCTTTCGGGAGGTCGGTTATCAACATCTGACGGGGCGCAAAAGGGATAGAGCAGCCAGTCGCCGCTTGTGCAATTTTATGGACCCCCGCCCAGAAGGTCTGGATGCGGGGGCACGTCCACCAGACGTGCAGGACAGTGCCCTCGGCCCCATTGCAGCGCCAGCATATATTAGAAGTGTTAGGAAATAGTTTGTGCAGCCTGCACGGTACCATGTACCATCTATAAAGTGTTTTGTGGCTTTGCTCCAGATGGGTGGCCGATTTGATCAGGAGCCTGGGCAAACGGAATATGCGCTCCCAGTCTTTGCTCAGGAGGGAGCAGTTTAGGTCCGCTTCCCACATTTGCGCTGTTTTTGAGGCAGCAAAGGGTAGATGGCGTGACAGTAGCTTGTAACTCATGGAGATCGGTTTACATGCAATGGGTAGTACTCTCTTAATAAGCATTAGCTCCCACACCGTTGGGGTTTCTGGGGGCAGGCTGGGCCCAGCATCTCTACAGTAGTGTTTGGTCAGAAACGACCGTAGTTGGATATAGGAGTAGTGTGATGTAGGAGGCAATGAGTATCGGGTTTGCAGCTCTTCAAAGCTAAGCATTTTGCCCTGATTGTACAGATGTGTCAGGTGGGTGACACCCCGGGCCTGCCATGGTACGGCGTGGAAAGTGGGAATGCAATATGTGAAAGACTTTATCGGAGTTGCCAGGGAGAACCCCTTGTGGCCGCTAAACAGTGTCGCGTTTTTGTCCCAGAGCCGTAAAAGTAGAGTAATCGAGTGTGGTGCTAGGGGCCATTGCGGTCTATACTTTTTTGATATCCATATCACATCGGCCAGTGTGTGAGGGGCCACCAACTCTCGTTCTAGGTGTACCCACTGCGGTGGTGTTGTCTGGAGGAAGTGTGGGAGGGCAGTGGCGATAACAGTTGCATAGTAATACGTGTGTACGTTAGGCAGTGCCAGGCCCCCATCTCATTTGGGTGCATTTAGTAAGTTCTGTGCCACTCTAGGTTTGCCCCCCTTCCATACAAATTGATTTATGTCTGATTGGACCGTTTTAAGGAAGGATCTGGGGAGTTCTAGTGGTAGGGTACGAAACAGATATAGTAGCCTTGGGAGGATCGACATTTTGATCGTTATAATTCTTTCCGTCCAGGACAGGTATAGCGGTGACCATTTTTTGAGTAAGTTACGGCAGTTGTTCCATACTGCCACATAATTTGCAGCGAATAGTGCAGTGTGGGCCTTCGTGTATGTAATCCCTAGATATGTGATAGTATCAGACCTCCATTCGAACGTATATTCCCGTTGGAGTTGTGTGGTGAGTTTGGCTGGTAGGGATATGCCTAGTGCTTGTGTCTTGGATGTATTGAGGGAGTAGTAGGACACCCTCCCGTATTCCTTTATCAATTGCATAACTGCTGGGAGTGTGGTGTGGAGATGTGTCAGGTAAAGCAGAATGTCATCTGCAAAAGCTCCTACCTTGACCACTTTGTGGCAGATCTTAACCCCATGGATTTCATCATTTGCTCTGATCCCTTCTAACAAAGGTTCTAGGGCCAGGACGTACAGCAATGGGGAAAGTGGGCACCCTTGCCTCGTTCCATTTGTGATCTGAAAGGGGGAGGAGAAGGAATCCCGACTGGAGTACTTGCGCCGAAGGATTTGCATAGAGTGCGAATATTTGTCGGCACATTTGGAGCGGGACCCCATATGCTTCCAATACTCCCTGAAGGAAGGGCCAGCCCAGGCGGTCGAACGCCTTTTCGGCATCCAGCGCTAGCAGGAGACCGCCCTCTCTGGCCCCCCTGAGCTGCTGGAGGACCACCGACAGTTTCCGAGTGTTGTCCAGGCCCTGTCTTCCTTTTACGAAGCCTGTTTGGTCATCTTTGATGAGGGAGGGTAGTAAGGGGGCAAACCGGTTTGCCAGGATTTTTGCATACAGTTTAGCGTCTGTGTTGAGCAGGGAGATGGGGCGGAAGTTTTTGCATTGATCAGTCGGTTTACCGGGTTTCGGCAGAGTCACTATAGTGGCCCGCAGCATTTCTGCCGGCAATGCTCCTCTCTCCATCGCCTGGTGGAAGGTTTCCAGCAGGTGTGGTGCCAATGTTTGGGCATACTTTTTGTAATAGAGGTTTGAGAGCCCATCCGCTCCGGGGGACTTGCCATTCGGTAACTCTTTGATAGTGTCTAATATCTCTTTCACGGTGAGGGGGCATGTTAGGGTTTCGATTTGGCTACTCGATAGTTGGGGCAGTTTGATGCGGGCGAGAAATGCTTTTACTTCATCTACAGTGGGGGTATGCGTATCGGGGTCGTCCCTCAAGTTATACAGTTTGGAATAGAATTTGGCGAACGTGTCACCAATCTCTTGGGGCCCTAGCTTTTTTGTCCCATCTTCCCCTAGTATGTGCGCTATCTTATTAGTTGCCAGTTTGTCTCGCAGTCTTGCTGCCAGGTACTTGTTGGCTTTCCCACCCGAGTGATAGGTAGTCGCTCTCAGTCTGTTTAATAAGTACTCAGTTTTCGTTGCGTTCAGTGCATGTAGTTTACGGTAGGCCTGCTGGAGTTCCGCAGCAAGTACCTTAGTTGGGTTGGTTTTATTTCTAGCCGTCAGTGCTGCTATTTGTTCGTGACATCGGAGGAGTTCTCCCTGTCTCTGTCTTTTTAGATGTGCGGCTCTCTTAATGAATAGGCCTCGGATAACCGCTTTATGTGCTAGCCAAACCGAGGTTTCCGATACCTCTCCCCCGCTATTCAGACGGAAGAAGTGGTCTAGTTCGTCATTTATTAGTGTAGCAAAGGAGTCGTCAGATAGTAGCGACTCATTGAGCTTCCAGTTCCCTCGCCCCTTGAATTGGAACACGTCGTGTAACGTGAGATAAATTGGGCTATGATCTGACCAAGCAAATGAGCCTATTTTACAATCCGCCATTTGGGCCAGAGACCTGCTATCTACTAGGAATGTGTCGATGCGGGAATAGGTATTATGCACCGCGGAGTGGAACGTGTAGTCCCTCTCCGTGGGGTGTGTGACCCTCCAGCCATCGTACAGGCCGTGTTTTGAGATCAGGGTGGTGAGTCTTTTGCATGTGTTGGATAGGCGTCTACCCCTATTACGGGATGGTGTAGCTGATGTGTCCAGTTGTGGTGACTGGATGAAGTTAAAATCCCCGCACAGAATTAGGCCTCCCTGTCGGTGGTCCTCCACAGTTTGGAGAAGTTTGTTTAAGAAATTTGTCGAGTCGGAGTTGGGAAAGTAGGCCGTAACTAGTGTGTATTGTGTGGCATTAAAAAGGCCCACTAATATAATAAATCTCCCTTGCGGGTCAATGTATTGGCTCTGGACCTCCAGAGCTATGTCTCTACTGATGAGAATTGACACCCCTTTCGTCTTGTTGGCCGACCGGGCATGGAATTGAGTAGGGTAGTGTTTAGCGAATAACTTTGGTTCCGTGGAGGACTTAAAATGGGTTTCCTGGATGCACGCTATATCTATATGTTGGTGTCTGAGCGTCTGAAATAGTAGGCTTCTTTTAGTCGGGGAGTTAAGCCCCTTCACGTTATAGGAGACTATTTTCATAATAGAGTATTAGATTTTGAGTGGGTGGTGACTCATGGCTCCCATAGTGAGAGCACCTATGTTGACGTGTGATGGACAGCATGCGGTACATATTATCGCAGTACAAATCAATAAGAGTTGTGATGAGGAGCACAGTGTTGTAGTTGATCGAAATCCAACTTGGCGGGGGGGGGTGGGAGTAGGAAAAAACAAGGGGGAACATTTAAGAACAAGTTATAAAGAGCTCAAGCCTCTTGAGCTATAGTGTGCTCAGTAATACTGGGCACAGGTAGTGGGTGACGTGGCTATAGGTCAGTCTGATGTGGTAATGACCTTGGCTGGGGGGGGGGTAAGGAGTCACGCAGAGGGGACCATGGAGTGATAGTGACACGGGAGTATTGGAGTGTGAGAGACCTTGCTGCAGGACACTCAACCACTTTGCGTAAATGCTCTGCTCCGTCTGCACTCTGTTAAGAGGAGCAGGTGCGGTGTTTTGGAGTGTGAATGCTATTGGGCAGCGCCTATTCTAGCCGTCAACTAAATGTTGCTGCGGTTATTATGTATAGTAGGTGGTGCACACAACAATAAGCATTATACAAGCCTATTTCAGGATAGCAAATGAGCAGTGACACAACATTAAAATTAGAACGGTTAATAAAACAGTGGTTCAGCAATCATGCAGCGTATACTCAGCCTTCACGTTAGGCTCTGGACCAGTCCACCGACAGTCTTGGTATCTTTTTAGCAGGTTGCACCGGTACATCCGGCTTGGGGAGCCCCCAGTCGTCCAGCTTTTTCAAGCCTTCTTCCACTGACGTGATAGGGTGGTTGGAGTTGTCGTGGTGGACGATAAGTTTCGCTGGGAAGCCCCACCGGTACGGAACCCCCTGCGCTCTCAGTGCGGTGGTGATAGGTGCGAGTGACTTGCGGAATTGGAGTGTGTGTGCTGACAAGTCCGCGAAAATCTTCAGGTTTTCATATTGGGAGGGTAGGTTATCTTTTCTAGCTGCTTTAACAATCTTCTCCTTGACATGGAAGAAATGCACTCTGGTGATTACATCTCTGGCCGTTGAAGTAGGAAGGTGCTGGGGTCTCCTGAGTCTGTGCGTTCTGTCCAGAACTACTTGATCTGGATGGACCTCTGGAATCAGTTCCAGGAAAAAGGTCTGGAGGTAGCTGTGTAGGGCTTCATTTGTGATTGATTCAGGAATACCTCTGATGCGCAGATTATTCCTCCTGGATCTATCCTCCAGGTCAGCAAGTTTCAGGTTTTGTTCTTGGATGAGTTGCTGCATCTGGTGTAGCTGGTCAGCCATGTTGTTGTGCGCGGAGGCATGTTTGCTGATTGCATTTTCTATATGGGATGTGCGTAGGCCCAGGTCCTGTATGTCTCTCTTAAGCTCGCCTGCCAGTGATTTGAGTTGCCCCTCAATGGTGCTTTGAATCTGTATGGTGAAGTCTGCCATAAAAGACTTCATTGTGGCCAGTGTGAGGGGACTATCCTCTAGTAGTGAGGTGGGTGAGGAGGGAGGAGATGGAGATACCTCCCTGGATCCGTGGCCGCCGCCATCTTGGATTTCCTCGCGGCCTTGTTTCCCATGTGCGGCTTTTGCCATAAAAAACATTGTTTTGTCGGCTTTCGCCGGTCTTTTGGCGGATCTGTGGGACATAGCACCGTTCTCCGCTCGGTTCGTGCCGAGATTAATTATTGCAGCCCGGTTATTTTCTCCCCTATATCGTGCGGTTCCCCGGAGCTCTAGCAGAGCACGTCCATGCGGCTCGGGTGATAGGCCACGCCCCCCCCAGACTCATTTTTAACGTATTCTTTTATTCCTTATTGGACAGAAGTTTTTATAGACAAAATCATTAAAGGTTATGTTTTATTTGCACATAAACATATGACAATCCTCCAGGGGGCGTCCTCCTAGTTCTGACCTTTCTGGTCAGTTTTTCTCTTTTTTGCTATACATATAAGTAAGGGTTACCCCCTATTTTGGATGGCCCAGATACACACCCTAACTGGTTTTTCCCTGTTTCAGGGTTATCCAGTATTTTTTTCTAAATATAAGGTTTCAATACCTATGTGTATCCTTCGATAAATTTCTTCCTTATCCATTGAAAATGGCCAGCTTTTTGAATCAACTTAAGGATTCTAACCAATGGTGTCTGGACGCTGATAGAGTGTTCACAGACAAAGAAAGCACTTTTATCTCCCAAGACTCTAGTATCGATTCTAAATTCAGACATATATCTAATATATGTAAACAACAAATTAGACTGGGCTGGGAAGTCTCATCTATACAGAATTATCTTAGCAAATCCATGATCCCGAGAGGACTCAGAGTCCAAATTATGCCAAATACTCAAATGGAGGACGCCGCCCTCCTAAAAGAATGGGAGGAAGCGGCTAATCTATGTTCCCGTACATTCATGGATATCATCTGTAGATTCGAGAGTCAGCGACTGGTTCAAACTAATGACGCTGTTAAACAGGCAATAGAGGCTATTCAGAATCATAAAGGTGATCCCAATTTTGATTCTAGGGAACTTAAACTCCAACAAAACTTGAACAAATACAAAGACTCTATTAAGAGTCGTAAGCACAAAAATTTTCTGAGGGATAACCAGGACTACAAGAATGACAAAGTGTATAGAAGGTTTAGGAGAAATATACGAGTTGACTCAGACCAATGTTCTACCTCAGAATATGAGACCTCTGACACCGATAACGAGGCTTTAAATTCATCACAGACAACCTCCAACACTGTTCAAACAAGAGGTATCCTTAAGAAGGGAGTAGCTTTTTTAGGTCAAAACCCCCGAGAGGGGGAACATCAATCACAATACAGGCAGACAAGATACAGGGGGAGAGCACGCAAACGTTATTAAATTCCAACATTAAGATAGTTAATCTCTCAGATAAGATACTTACTGAACCCCAAAATCATGTACTTATGAAGGGTCTATCATTCGTTCCAGTTCCGCATTTCAACAAATTCGAATGGGTGAAAGATATTCACCTATTCGGTAGACGGCTAGCCCTTCATAAATTCTTTGCCATTGAAAATGAGAAAAAAGCTAAGAACTTGGGGTTCAATATGAGGGAATACCGATGTCTAAATGATTTGGTGTCACTTTTAGATGAGAATGACGACACGATGCTCCAACCCTACACTGACCTAAAACAGAAGAGCCGTTTCACTCCTAATATTAAGGACTTAAAAACATAGATATGTTTGTCGACTCAACCTGTAACATGATACAGAAATTGAGGATTGACTCCTTACAACCTCAACCACATAGTAATCTCTCTAATATTGAATGGCGGGCCCTCTGTGATCTGCAGGATGATGAGGACATCATCGTTAAACCTGCAGACAAGGGGGGCAACATTGTGGTACTGAACAGGCAACAATATGTTCAGTTGCCTGCCAATATACTTGGGGATGTTAATACATATAAAATACTTCCTGGAGATCCCTCAGTTAACTTTTCGATTGTTTTGAAAAATTTATTGGACTCAGCATTTTATGACGGAGTCTTGGGCAAGGATGAATATGCATTCATCTATGTTAAGAATCCAATGGTCTCAACATTCTACTGTTTACCCAAGGTACATAAGCAATATAAGCACCTAACAGCTAGACCAATTGTATCCGGGTCAAACAATATGACATGCAAAGCTAGTATCTATATAGATAAAATACTTCGCCCCTTTGTGGAAAAGCTTCCATCATACCTTAGGGATACGAAGGATA